GCTTGTTTAGTTGAATCCAGTTTTACTTTGTTTTGGGTTTGAGACACTGGGAGATCCTCTTGTCTTTAAGTCATATAGATGGTGTTATCATTAGTTTGTCGACTTTACGCAGACACCTTAAGACTTTACAGTTGTTCAGACAAAAAGCCCATTCAGATCTGCTGGACACTGCAGTGTTTCTCCAGAATCAGTTGGACACATATGGCAAAATACATGCATGAGCAGGAGTCACCATGGATGCAGGGGTCACTTGCAGGTGACAGGTGGGAGGTTCCCGCGAGATTGTGAAGTATCTCATCTCCTCATTCAGGAAAAAAAATTACCACGAAAAACTGATTTTTTTTTATTTGTCAAGTGAATACAATACGCTTCCGTAACCCTGAAACTCACTTCTATTTCTATTTTTATTTTTTATCTTTTTAGCACAACACTGCTGCATTTCCACACAGCCTGAGGAACACACTCACACATAAATTTACACAAGTGAATTATAAAGACAACATTTTAATTCGGCTCACATAACATGATCCATATTTGCCTTTTACATCAGTAACACCTAAATTAAATGCAGCGGAGTCAGGTCGTAACTCAACATTAAGTTACTGTCAGATTAAATATCTCTAATAATTCATGTGTTTAGTTTGAGTGTTGGTGAGCCGAATTTTTCCTTCCGCATCTATAAAATCGTTTATGCTTTTAAATCACGTCTAATGATGTTCATAAATGTTCAGATGCGTCACGAGATCTTAAATCATCTAAATTTTGAATGAGGTTCGGCGCGTTTCGTGATTGATTCGGACTCTGGAGGCAAATAGTGAAATCTGACCCTCTCAGGTTGAGACATAACAAACCCTCCATCGTTCAGCACACTGACTAAATATTATATTTATTATGTAATTAATGTACGACACGTTTCACTGTAACGTTACATTACAATCTAACAGCCTGTCACATCGTGTTCAGGTGAAATAAAGTAAAAACACAATAAAATCAACATTTACTGAAACGAGTCTTCATTAAAATCACAGTTGAAATAATAATAAAGTCACACTCACACTCTGACCGGTTGTTCCGCCATGTTTTCTCTCAATTTTATCTTCAATTGTTAAAAAGTCAACATTTGGATTTTTGTAGCTTGAACATTTGGTTCGTCGCTAAAAGTGGTCCGATGGAAACAACAGCGGAACCTTTTCTGTCTCAACAAATCACGTTTCGTTTAACAAGAAAATGTCGCTGTAGAAAATATTTTTTCAAATATTCACATTTATTTAATATTAATGTTGTTTTATTTTTATGTCTACGTCATTTTATTTAAGACATTAGTAAAAATAAATAAGTCAGGTTGTAACCCGGACCGATTTTAGGACGGAGACGGAGGTTGCCAGGTTTGATTCTTACACAAACATTTAATCAACCGTCTTACTGTCTTTTAACGGAGCTTTCAGCCACATCACAGCTTTCACCAGTGAGCTTAAGTCACATTTATTAGATTATGTATTTATAATTTAACAATTATTCAGGTCAAGATTCAACTTTTTACACTCAATAAAATAATGAATATTAGTTTCAATTAAATTGAACTATATGTGAAAAAAAAATAGAATTCAAACAGGATAAAACAATATGTTTGTCAAAACATTAATTTTGAAATATATAACGATACGTTTGGAAAGTAATTGCTTTAGAAATATATATAAATTATGTTTATGTTATTTAAATTAGAATAAAAGACCTGGAGTGTACATGACATCTTAATTAAGTGTTGTTGTTTTTGTGTGTGTGTGTTCTAATTCATGAATACACACAACATAAAATTATTCTGAAATAAAATGCATGTGTTATTTAAGCATCTTATGTGTTATCTGCATCATTTATATTTAAACAAGTGGACAGAAGTATCAGAAATGTGTGAAAATATACAGTAAATAAATGAAAGCATATCTACAGCATGTCCTCTATATGTTACCATACTTAAGTGAAATTTTGACATGTTTGTACTTCAGTATTTTACCTCTCCTCCATGATATTTTGGGGTCAAATATTGTACTTTTTACTTAACCACATTTATTTGAACGCTTTAGTTCCTCCGCAGATTTCAGCTAATAAATGAATAAATGACCCAACAGTCATTTAAATGAGTTCCACCTTCACTCTGCAACATTAAACTGATCAACACATTAATGAGTCAGTTATTATAATCCACTTCATGTCATATATATTACTCTCCATAATGAGACTGAATTATCATCAACCAGTGTTTATTGAGGGAAACTGATAAAGTGATGAAAAATGTCCATAAAAACAAATAAGTAGCAGCAATGTCTATTAAAGATTATAAACAGCAATAATACAACAGTTAAATAAATAAAAATGGAGTCTGCCATAAAGGACAGATACATATAAACAACAATAAAAACAGTAATATGTAGAAAATCATGTCAATTAACCAAAACAGCAACACTGAAAAACAACCACATCATCAGCATACAGTTGATTTACAGTTTAAATATCTCTTGCAACTTGCTCCATTTATGTGGTGTGAAAAACTAGAAGCTAATTTACGGAGCTCTGAACTGATCTGAGGAGCTTCAAAGGATAAAACCTCCTGTGATCGTGTGTGATGAGACATGGATTTGATTTCTAAAAGAGAAGTGAGGTAGAAGAGGAGCAGTGCACCCGGTTTAATTCTCACTTTCTTCGTGACTTCAGTTCCGTCATATCAACCAGTTTCAGTGTGTCGTGATCGTACTCCAGAGCAAAACTGTGCACAGAGAGAGAACACAGGCTCTCAAGTAGATGATACACAACATATCTGACACTGCTTTAAACAAACGACATGTTCCTGATTTCAGTTTGTGATGAATCTCCTCCACCCATTTGTTTTTATATCTCATCATGGCAAGTTCTCTGAGCCCACATCCACCCTCTGTGGGTGGAGAGATCCCTGAGCCCATGCTCATGACATCCGAAAACCCGACTTGCCAGTCTGTTGTTCAGTCGGTCAGACATTCTGTTCACAGGTTTACATGTTTAAGGACTCCAAGGAAGAATCAAATTGCTCTGTTGTGCACATTCATACTTTTATTAAGATGTCCAGATCCCCAAACCCCAGACGAGTAGGCAAGAATGACAAGTACTTTTTCTTTTAGTACTTTATAAATGTTGATGCTCTTACTTTTTTTTTTAATTTTAAAGGCACCGTATGTAAGAATGTGGCCAAAACAGTTACTGCACTCAAATTCAAAATACTGCCGCAAGTCGTGTCCGTCCCCCCCGAGCAAGTCCAGCTTCTTTGCTGCTAACGCTGCTGCTGGGACACAGCGGAGGAGGAGCTGGCTGCTAATGCTATGTATCGGGACACTACTAATGCTGCTTGCCGGTCGATGACCCACCTGCACATGGGCTACAATGTATGATCGAAAATGAATAACAGTTGAAAGTATTCGAAATGTCCATCCCCGTCTAGCTATGATGCTAGTTAGCCAATTTTGGCTAAAGCTTACCTGTCGAGGAGAAGAGTAGCCACTTTGACATCCGATTTCAAATTCTTCTCCGCTTTCAACCGTCTCCACCGTTCAGAAGCATCTCCTATATAGACCCTCGCTTTGCCTCGAGTTTTGTCTTGGTGTTTTTGGGAATCATAACGAGGTCGTTTGGGTTTAGTCGCACCGTCAGCCATTGTAGCTCAGTCGTAAATGTAACTGATGCTGAGACTCTACTGACTGCGTGACTGGTAGACGGCGGTGGGTGGCGCAACAGACCAAAACACAAATTCAAAACATAAACATGATTTGCGGAC